GATGTGCATATTTGTGATCTGACAGGTTTGTTTTGACTGGATGTTATGATGGTTTTGGAAGGTAATCTACTGAATGTTTATTCTTATGCTAATTGCATTTTTTTTGGTTTTTGTATCAACCTAACATTTGATAGTGCTAATCAGAATATGGAAGGCTGCCGGATCTTGTACACATCTACTGGAGGGCCATACTGATGCAATTACTTCTGTTTGTGTTGTCAAACCAAGAGGTGTCAGTGGGATATCTCAGTTGCTCATTGTCTAGCATTATGCCTTATCGTCTGCTGCCATTATTATTTACCTTGACACCATGTTCATACTCCCACATCACTTGCTCTTGATATTTCTTTTTCCGGTTTAATATTTCTTGTTGATATCCATTCTATTAACTTGCCTTGCAATACCGAAATACACTGGATACCAAAAACTTTTACAAGCATTACAATCAGTATGGAGATATGGTTTGAATTTCTCCTGGATATCTTCTTCTCTGTGCTTCATTTCTTCTGGAATTCTGTCTGTGTTTATCATGCTTATACCTTTTATTTTCTGTAGTGGCTCAAAATGGTGCTGATCAAATAGTCGCTACGGCTTCCAAGGATAGGACACTGCGTCTCTGGAAGGTAAATGATGTGCCTGTGCTACTTATAACTCACTGTCTAATTTGTGATCTTCCCCTAATTAGTATTGTTTGGCTTAAAAGTTTGATGCAGATGAGTCTTCGGATCAGATAAAGAGGATTAGAGCCTTTAAGATTTTACATGGACATAATGCTTCTGTCCAGAGTGTTGCAGCAAATCCTGCTGGAGATATGGTCGTGCATCTCTTCACTTAATTGATCATTTAAAGCTTTTGATTATGAAATTGATTTTAAGAACTCTTACTGAATCCCAGTATTTATTGCATTGACAGGTGTGTTCAGGGTCCTGGGATTCTCAAATAGCTTTGTGGCAAGCAAGTGGCTCAGATACAGGTGACGTCGTTTCAGTCAAGAAAAGGAAGAAGAATGCCGATGAGGAGGATCCTCAAGTAGAAGTATGACTACATTTCTTCTAGGTTAAAGACAGAAGGATACATTTATTTCATTCCACATAGTGTATAAAAATCCATTATCTGTTTAATAAGGATAACATGTCTGTTCTAACTTCTACCTTATCCAGAAAAAAGATAATGTGTCGGTTCCCAAAAGCAGTGAAAAAGGAGGAAAGAACAGTTCATGGCTGCAGTTACTATTTTGATATCAAAAACTTTCCAGTGCAAGACATACACGTAAAAAACTATCTACTTTTACTTTTTTACAAATCCTCTTCATCCCTGAATACTAGTTCACATCCTTTTCCATCCTACCTCTTATATGCTGCACCCATTCAATTGTCCCAACCTTCTTCCTGCAGCGCCTCCATCTTTGTGTTGAAACTTCCTCCGTTCCAAATTATTGACATAGTTTGAACTGGCATGCAGTTTAAGAAAAAAATGAAGACTTTAGGAACTTGTAGTTTAAAATATGACATAACTGGCTATGAGTTTTTTGAAACTTGTAGCCTTAAACATACCGTCATTTAACTGGAACTAGAGGGAGTATTTGTTCTTCTTCCTTCCCCCTCCCTGCTATCCCTCTCTGATCCCTAACTTCCTCCCCTGTTCCTTATTTATCACCTTTGTTGCCATTATATTCTTCTTTTCAATGTTGTTTCAGCAACAATTTTGTGCCAGTCAAATGTGTCTCTGACTTTCTATATTGTATCTCATTAACAATTGATATCGATTAGCGAAATCTTGTGTACGTTTTGGTGAATGACAAGAAACCTTCTGATTTCCTCAAGTGACAATGTTCATCATGCAATTGAAGGGTCAAAATAATTTTGAAATTGATTTTTGAAATATGTCAAGTCTTTGGCTAGGAGGAGAGGTGTTATCTCTTATTATATCACTCTAAGTTGCTTTATCTATGTTCTCTCTCTTTCTTTGCCTCTTCCTTTTCTATTGTTTTCTCTTTTTTTTTTTTTAATGTTTGTTATCATAATCTTGTACTCAAAAAGTTCTATCACATCTTATGATCACAGGAGGAGGCTAAATCTACACTTGTAGGACATACACAATGTGTGTCGTCTGTGGTGTGGTCACAAGATGAAACAATTTATTCAGCATCATGGGATCACACTATAAGAAGATGGGATGTTGAGATGGGCAAGGATTCATTGAACCTGGTGACATGCCGTCTCTTTTCTCCTTTTCTTCCAGTCATATCTCTACTGTCCTGTGCATGTAGGCTAGTATTTCATAAAACTATATACATATGGATTGTGGAGGGGGGCGAAACAAATTTCCCACTTGCAGAATATGAGAATTTTGTGGAAGGTGTAGCACATACATATTCTTTTCCTAGTGATATTGCTTTCGCTTTCTGTCAGACATAACATTTCTCTTTGACGGTCAACAATCATATTTTTAAAAATTACCTCGTTATGATAAGTAGCCAGTTTTGAGCCTTTTTAATGCCAAGACATATAGCTTTTTTTAGTCTATTTGTTGAGAGCTTGAAACTGTTTAGTCCTAAAAGTATGGATAATGACCGCCTTCCTCTTCAACAGTATTGCGACAAAGTTGTTAATTGCCTTGATGTTGGAGGTGAAGGTTCTTCCCTCATTGCTGCTGGTGGTTCTGACCCTGTTCTTAGGATATGGGATCCTCGCAAACCAGGTTTCTTTCTTTTTCTGTCCAACTTGCAGATCACTTTAAACACACCCTTGAACTTTAATCCCTGTCTCTCTGTGCTTAAATATCTTTTCTCTGTTTATATTGTTCAAGCAACTGATGACCTTACATGAGACAATGATATATGAAAAAAACTCTTTCATTTATCACTTCAGGTTCTTCGGCTCCTGTCTATCAGTTCTCATCACACAGTTCTTGGATATCCGCCTGCAAATGGCATGAAAAGTCATGGTTTCACTTGGTTTCTGCATCTTATGATGGGAAAGTAATGTTATGGGACTTAAGAACTGCGGTTAGTGCTATACCTCTTACGTCTCTATAATGATTAGTATGTTTTTATGAACACTTACATTTTCCATTCATGGGTAAATCAATTTGTATTGCAGTGGCCCCTTGCTGTCATTGATACTCACAAGGACAAGGTGCTAATGTTTGCCTTCTAAGAACTGGTTTTACAGTATTTGTTCTATCACATTAGAATTTGCTAAACATTAGTCTGTCAATACAGGTTTTGTGTGTGGATTGGTGGAAAGGTGAAAGTGTAATCAGTGGTGGGGCTGACTCGAAGCTTTGCATCTCTTCCGATGTTTGTGTGTTGTGATTAGAGGTAAATTACTCTCTTTTTGCAGTAGAGTTTGAAGAGGAAATTTCTTTCACAGCCTAGTTAGGTGGAGTAGAACACAAGTTATTAGGAAAAAAAGGAATATAACCCATGTACGGTTGAGTTTTGTGTGTATCAAAGTTGTGATAGGACAAGGTAGCATTGTATGCAGAGAGAGTAAAGCTTGATGTGTTTTGCATACTTTGAAGCACTCTATCATTTGATTGACCTGATGGTAGTTGTGACAATTGTTCATTTGGCAGAAGTTGTATTCTTGGCACGGATGACAAGGTAGTTTGTGCGAACAGGAATTGGCCAAGTATATGATTAGAACTTTTGTTCTGTCAGGACAGATTCTCCCCTGTTGCCGATATTGTGCTCCAAAAGATGATGCAATTTTGCCTAGGGAGAATCGGTTGGGTCAAGCTGGAGAGTTGGAAATGGTTTGTATTATATATTCCTGCGAGGCTAAAATGATTTGAAGCTCATTTTTTTGGGTGCCTAGTGAGTTTGCAATACAAATATATATCCTAAGAGAATTTTCAAAGGATCTTATACGGTCACCTAGAACTGTATTTTATTTCAGCAACCATTCGTACCAATTTATCTGGAAGTAACTATATGATTATCGAAATTTTATTTGAGAGATTCGAGCTGTTACTATTCACGCCCATTTTTTCGCCTTTCCTTTTGAAAGGTGCCTCAAACAGTCCTGAGTTGTGTGAAAATGGTTAGTTTTAACACACTTCTTTCTTTTTTCTTTTTTGCAATGAAGGTAAGTTTTATTACCAAAACAGATATGTACAGTACATATGAAAGCAGTAAGGCCTTTCTTTTTTATTTCTTATGAAGGTTCGAGTTTCTCAAATATGCAGCCAGCTCGATTTATTCAGAAATTGCAAGGAACTACTACTGCTACTACCAGTATGAACTACCAAGGCTTACAACTTACATTGTGTATTGCAATTGGCATCGTATACGTTGAGTGGATTTGGCTGTATGTACCATTCCGAAATGGTGCAAAACAATAATGTGCATTGTTACGCCGAAGAAAGTATGCAACTCGAGTATATTTTATGGATCTTTTTGCCAGGGGAGAAAAACACTTGCTCGTCTGAAAAAATAATTAGGGAGTAATCGTTATAATTGCAACAAGGTTTAGCATAAGATCCTAATTTTGTTCAAAATCCGTCCCTAAGAAAATGCCAAAGCAAAATTATTACCGTGGTCTAATCAAAGTGAACTCAATAATTTCAGCCATTGAGAATCAAGTATTGAGAAGTCAGTCTCAATTCGGAACAGACTCCAAAATCGAATCTTAGCCATTCAATACAATAATAACATATTCGATACAATCACGTAAGTGGGAGGGTGATGTGTATGTAGCTTTATTCCTGCCTTTTGAAGGTAAATATTGTTTTCAACACTCTCAGATACAACATAAGTGGTTTGACAAGCACAGCTAGCCGGGTTAATAACCGTAGATACTGGATTAGGGAAGCACACGAATGAATAATCATTATAAACAGTAATAGTACAATTTGATACGCGACTCCAACAACCTTATTATATATATGGAGACGCGAAGGAGATTATTATAGTAAGTCGGTCATTTCCCCCCGCATATATTTTAAAATCTTGAATTTCTTATGTGTTTTCATATTTGAAGATGATGATTGATTATGTCTTCGTTTTCTTTTTTAGAAAAAATAAATTATGGCTAGGGTTTCTGATTATCTCTTGAACTAGTCCTTGGGGTTCTTCTGTAGTAGTGGAATTATTTTGTATTGGAATCTTTAATGTATGCGGCAGAAAGCTAGGGTTTTTGCGAAAAGTTGGATTTATTGACTATTTAGGGATTCAACTATTCTTGTATTCCGATTCCTTCAATAGTTTGGTGTTTGCTGTGCTGTGCTATTTTGGGATTTCAGAAAAAAGTAATCCCTTTATTGTAAAAATAGAATGTTAATGTCGGACTCCACCATGCCTACTGAAAAAAAAATATATGTCAAGAATCAAGATTGGGTGCACAGACATCTCCTTCCATTCGTTCCTTTTGATACACCAATAACCTTTGTTATTGGATGAATATATGATATCTCTTGCCACCGAGGGGTTCAGTTGAATCCAATAGTTTTGTCGAAACTCTGTTTTTATTTCAAGAAATTTATTGAATTTGTGTAAATTATTCATTTAGTCCAAATATAATAATCCCACATCTATAAGCTTCAAATCCGGATTCTTCTTGACACCTTTTCTAAGTATACTCATTCTCTACAAACCAGAGGTTATACAATTATACGGGCAACTACAGCAGGAATATCAATGTTAACAAAGAACAGTATCCTTTCTATTGTGAACCAACTGAAAATATGTTCAAGCAGAAAGCAGCTGGAATCCCTTTACTCTTTGATGCTAAAGAATGGTGCAACCAAAGACTGTTTCTTGATGAACCAGTTCGTTGCTACATGTTCTGCGCTTAATAACCCAGATTTTGCATCCTTTGCATTTTCCCAGATGGAAAATCCCAATGTGTTTGTTTACAACGCACTAATAAGAGCTTTTGTTCATTGTCACAGTCCACATAAAGCATTACTGTTGTATATAGACATGTTAAGAACTCAAAATATTCCAAGTAGCTATACGTTTTCGTCGGTAGTTAAGGGTTGTACATTGATGTGTGGTCTAAGATTAGGGGAATGTATACATGGGCAGATTTGGGAATATGGGTTTGGAAACCATGTTTTTGTTCAAACTGGTCTAATTGATTTTTATTCTAATTTGGGTAGAGTTGATTTAGCGAGATTAGTGTTTGATGAAATGTCTGAAAGAGATAATTTTGCTTGGGCTGCAATGGTTTCAGCCCATGCCGGCGCTGGTGATTTGGGTTCCGCTAGAAAATTGTTTGATGAGATGCCTGAAAAAATTACTGTTGCTTGTAATGCTATGATCAATGGGTATGCAAAAACAGGGGATGTCGAGTCGGCTGAGCTGTTGTTTAAGGAAATGTCAAGGAAGGATTTGATTGCATGGACGACGATGATTAACTGCTACTCTCAGAACAGGAAGTATGGTCTGGCTATAGAGGTTTTTTATGACATGAAGAGTAACTTGATCACTCCTGATGAAGTAACAATGACCACTGTTATTTCTGCTTGTGCACATCTCGGCGTCCTGGATCAAGGAAAGGAGATGCATCTTTATGTTATGCAAAAAGGTTTTGATCTTGGTGTGCATATCGGGTCTGCATTAATTGACATGTATGCAAAATGTGGGAGTTTGGAGAGATCACTCTTGGTATTCTATAAATTGAGGGAGAAAAACCTTTTCTGTTGGAATTCTGTTATCGATGGATTGGCTGTTCATGGTTATGCAGAAGAAGCATTAGCTCTTTTTAGCAGGATGGAGAAAGAAAAGGTAAAGCCAAATGGTATTACTTTCGTCAGTGTTCTTACAGCTTGTACTCATGCAGGGCTTGTTGAGAAGGGTCGAAAGAATTTCCTAAGTATGACTCAAGATTATGGCATCGTTCCTGAAATGGAGCACTACGGGTGCATGGTTGATCTATTGTGTAAAGCCGGTTTGCTAGAGGAAGCACTCCAGATTATAAGAAGCATGAGAGTGGAGCCAAATGCTGTTATTTGGGGTGCTTTACTTGGTGGTTGCAAGCTTCAGAAGAACTTGGAAATTGCTCAAGTTGCAGTCAAAAAGTTGAGCGTTTTGGAGCCAAACAACAGTGGCTATTACACCCTCCTAGTGAACATGTATGCTAATGCAAATAGATGGAGTGAAGTCACCCGGATCAGAGCATTCTTGAGAGAGCTAGGAGTAGGAAAAGAACAACCGGGTTCCAGTTGGATTGAATTAGAGAAAAAGATCCATCAGTTTGCAGCTTGTGATAATTATCACCATTCTTCACAGGAGATCTATTCCTTACTAGATGGATTAGATGGGCAACTTAAGTTGGCCGGGCAAGTTCAGGAGCTTGAATTTGTTCTCTAATGGCAGGACAAAGGCATCGTTGACATTATAGTCTTCATAGTCAAATTGGCTAAGTATTTTGTATTCTGTTGCAGCGGATTTAAACCTGGACTGTACATTCGAAGTGGCAAAGGAAATGCTAATTTGTTGCGAGTCCCTATGCTACGCTATGAAAAATCATGCAGTGCGTTGAGTACTTGATAGTGTACAGTTTTTATCTTAAACGAGTAAATGTAATTCAACTGATTATAGCAGATTGGTTACAATTTTTATCAGTTTATAAATAGGCATTAATTATTATAGAGGTTTTGTGTAATTATGGACATGGCTCCCCTCCAGTAGACTTTGAGACCAGTTTGTCCAGTGCAGTCCTAATCTTATTACACCAGTACACTATTGATCTAAGGGTCAAGGTCTGCTTAAGAAATTAGAAAAACACCTCATAAACCGTGGTTAAACTAACAGTACAGTATTTATGATAGAAACATCCGAAAGTATTGCTGTGGGATTTCTATTAAATGACTTTTTCACTGATGTGTTATATTCCAAAAAAAAAGCACTTAAAAGGGAATGGAGAGAGAGTAGTGTTTATTGTCGATAATAACATGGATGTGGATTTCTCTCATTAGGAGTATTTGTTCCATTCCACACAAATATGGGAGTAGAAGATATCCGGACACCACGGTCATAAAAAAAATAAAAAATCAATGTGTGAATAATTTTACAGGTAAATTTAAATGTCCGTTCATGTATTTTTTTTCTTTTAAATACAAAATGTATGTTGTACTAACTGATAGTGTTTAATGTAATTTACTCTAATAATAATGCAAGTAGTTGTAATTGACACTTCTTGTTTGTTTCAAAATTTCCACAATAACTGATCAGGCGCAAGCTGTTGACATGTTGGACCAGTAGGTCAATACAACACCGTTTCGTCTGCGTAGGAAGGTCCACCTCATTTCATTTTGCATAGACGGCAAAAAGAAAAGCGTTGGGAACCAGGGGGAAAGGGAAGCCAACGGTTGACAGAGCCATGAAAAAGATGGCAGCTTTGCCATCGGCAGACTGGGAATGGGAAAATGCCACCGCCGGTGCTGCTGCGGGCCTTGCTACTGTCACATTCTCTCATCCCCTTGATGTTGTTCGTACCCGGTTCCAGGGTAAGTGTTATGCTTTCCTGCTATAGCAAATGAATGATCTCCTGTTGTTTCTTTGGAGCTTGATTTGTTGTATATGTTAATCATAGTTTACGATGGAAGAATCTCCAATGTCCCGGCCTATCGGAACACTCCTCACGCTTTGTTTGCCATTGCTCGAAGTGAGGTTTGTTTTTTTCTGAATCTTTCCAATTTCTTCAAATATTGAAGCTTATCTACATATGCATTGTTACTATTCCAAAACTCACCTTTTAGTTCATGATTCGAAAAAGAAGTTGATTTTTCAATTCATATAGTTGGTAGTTCTGGTGAAAGACAAATCATATAATGTGTTAAGGATGCTTGTTTCACAAATTTTTGGTTTCTCAAATAGGTAATATCAACTTCAGGAAATATGTATATGCAACACTGTTTAAACAAATATGTTCTATCCTCGATTAGGAAACGACACATGGTTTATTGTTGAGTGGATGCCCTTACTTTGATGTATCATGTATCTAAATGGATGTTTTCAGTAAGTATCCTTCTAAGAAGAAATGAGACCATGTTCGTCTTGGCGCTAGTACAACTGATAACTGTGGAGTTTTATGGTTGTTATCATATTCTCTACGTTATGATATTCAATCCACGGTAAGTCGGTAACAATATCCATTCACTCCCTCAAGAATCTTTTTGGAACCTTTGAGAGGAATTGTATCCTAGTAGAGTTTGTATATGGCTACTCCAACTGGAAAGCTAAGTCCTTTGTTTTCTTATAAATATGGTTTAAGTCCTTAATTTGAATGTCAACAGTTGAGTGAGGTGTCTTCTTGGACACGTCGATTTACTTCAAATCTTGATCGAGTGCTTTCTTGTTTCATTTACCTGTTCTCACAGGTAGAGTTTATTCAGTCAGCCTCATGACATAATCATAGTGAGAAACTCCATCACACTTTGTCAAACACAATCAAACATACCACTGACATATGGTTTTGAAGATGAAACTCCTTTACCTGCTGCCCCCTATTGAGTTTTTATGCTGCAGACTGTTGAATGTTTGCCTTATTGCTCGTATATGTTCTCACCTTTCCACCAAGATGACTTATTTATTTAGCTATAATGTTGTCTTATCAGGGTCTTAGAGGACTTTATGCTGGCTTTTACCCTGCTGTTCTTGGGTCAACTATTTCATGGGGTTTATATTTTTTCTTGTAAGTAACATCTTTTTCTTTTGTTGACAAAGCTCTGGTAAGTAGCATCTTTTGCCATGAGACATCTTCAGCTTACCGAGAACATGACCTTAGATAGGGGCGGGATATGGAGGGTCGTGGATTAGGGTGACGATTAGTTAGTAGTTGAGTATTGTCTCACTTTCCGGTGGGATAGACTTGGTGGTAATTTGGAGCACCGTATCCACGTCTCCTTTCATACCAGTAGTATTAGTATTATTCTCGTTGCTTTTGTTCGTCGATTTTTGTTATTATTTGTTGTTTTTTGTTCTGGGTTAGAGTGTTATTTAGCTGTGGTTACTGTTCCTTTAATTCAGAATGCTATGTAATGCTTTCCTATTATTTGCCACCAGCTTCTTCACTTTCGTATTTTATGTGTTCATAACTGCTTTGGAATGCTTTCCCTTTCTCTATTTTCTTTTCTTTTCCTTTCTTTATCTTTTCTTTATTTGAGCCAGGGGGTCGAATGGAAACAACCTCTCTACCTTCACAAGGTAGGGGTAAGGTTTGCACACACACAATTCTCTCCAGACCCCACTTGTGGGATTACACTAGTATTATCTAAGGCACGCTTAAGTCCTGAAGCGAGGCTCAAAATGTGTTGAGCACTTCGCTGGGCTTAATGTGTGCTTCAATGTTGTCATTAGGGTCTTTCTCTTGCCAATGAGCCTCTTCTGAAGAGGCTATATTTAACAATTGATATTTCATTTTATCGTAATTTTTTCAATTTCTTTGTTCATATATTTGTCATTCATGCTTATAATTATTAGTCTTGGACTAAACATGTATTTTTTCTCCATTTGCACCTTTTCTCATTAAAGCCCACACTTTGTTTGCGCTTAAAGCCCCAGCAGACCTTAGAGCTTTTTGATTTTTATAGCACAGGCTTACATTGGGTTTGTTGTTATTGTTGTTGGGATTGTTTGTAAGAAACAATGTCTCCCTGTAAGAAGCAACCAAATATGTTGGTTGCTTTCACTTTGATGCTTCTTAAATTTCTAGCTTGAGAGACATCTTTCTCTAACTGTAACATCTTTCTCGGAATTTCCTTTTCGTAGCTATAGCAAGGCTAAGCAAAGGTATCTAAGAAACAGGGAGGAGCTGAGTCCAGGCCTTCACCTTGCTTCAGCTGCAGAAGCAGGAGCGCTGGTCAGTAATCAAATTTCTGATGCTTTAATGAAATAACAATGTACTTCACGTGTTCAAATGTTCAGCATTCAATTGACCAGCTTTTGGCAGGAGTGTCAAATATAGATAGTTGAATGTGATTCTTTATTTGTTGTCGTAGTCCTTGTAGGAGTGCAATTGTAGTTGGCTTGCTGGTGACGAATCCCTTACTTTTACTGTTGATAAAACTTAAAAGTGTGACCAAAGTGAAATCTTTCTTTTTTCAATGGAAGGCAAGGTCGAGTAATAAACTTATTGTTTTGGACTCCAACATAAAAAAAATAGTTATTGATTCCCATCATTGGCAAACCACACATTACGTGTTAGTTAAATATAGGAACTGGAGAACCTTATAGACAAACAAATTTGATTGTGTTGATCTTTTTGTGGACAACCTTTTCCCCGCTTTATCAGTTCTGATGACAACAGATTGATGACTTATTATTTAGGTGGACAAAATATGTGGCTTGCTTATTTTAGTAACTTTAAGCACATCCCTCTAATATTGCAGACTATGTCATATCTTAAAAGGTGTGTTTGTTGGAATTCAGGTCTGTTTTTGCACCAACCCTATTTGGCTTGTGAAAACAAGATTGCAACTTCAGACTCCTAATCAGACTCGTCCATACACCGGATTTCATGGTCTGCTTCACTCTCGTATTAACTTGTCAACATCTTGTTTCATTGTGCTTTCATCTAACTTTGAGCACGCTAGGACTACTTCTTTCCATCTTAATTTTATATAAGAATCCTACCTTTATTTCTGCAATTTTGAGGTTCTATAGTTGTGTATCCTCTTTTTGTTTACTGAGGTTCTATTGCAACTTCTGCTCTCTTTTTATGTGCATGCACATTCAGTTTTCTGACTAGCCTCTTTTGTATTTACTATCCTACTTATTAAGTTCATAGGAACTTTTTTGTATATGGATATCAGATGCTTTAAGAACCATAATCAAAGAAGAAGGATGGAGGGCACTTTACAAGGGGCTTATGCCAAGCCTATTTCTGGTTAGAATTGCATTCTCTTCCATTCTTCCCCATAATCTGATCCTGTAAATGAATTTGATCTTATCTTGACATAAATTTTTTGAAGTTAACCATCATAGTATATCTAACTTTTTGGATAGATTATCTATACAATACACAACAAATTTAATGCTGAAGTGTCACCATTCATTCATGAAACACGCTGGTCTGTTGTTGCTTAAGCAGATTACACATGGTGCTATTCAGTTCACGGCATATGAGGAATTTCGCAAAGTCATCCTTAGCTCGAAAGCTCAGGAGAATGAAAACCCTCTTGCCACAGCTGCTGACTTGTTGGTGAGGCTCTAGAACCAATGTGTATTGCTTTCTTTGTATGCAATCGATTCCATAGCTGTTTTAATCTTTGGATGACCAGCAAAATTGATCCTTTTATGTATTATTAGATATTGGAATTCAGATGTGCTTAGACGAGTAAGAATGAGTACAGGTTAGGCAGGATTTTTTAAGTTAGTGGGCAAATGGCACAGATGAGAATATACTGTCCGACTCTTGTATTATGTGCTCTCATTCCTTGTTGTTTCGTTATGTTACTTGTGCAGAAACATTAAGTAGGTGTCTTAGGAAATCTTGGAAGCGGAAACTTTTCAAACCTTTCTTCTTGAGCAACTAAGATATTATTTGTATATCATGTCGACGATTATCCTAAGGCACATAAGGTTTCTTTTTCAGTCCCTTAACAACTGTATCTACCTTATTTACTGAAGCAAAGTGGCACTAGCCTGTCCAATTTCTTCCCCTCCCCATTAAAAAATAAATATAATAAGAAAAAAGGAAAAGAGAAAAAACTACTTGAGTAAAAGTAAAAGGGGATATTTTTCTTAGATAAGCAGATCCGAGTGAAGAATGATTCAATTATTTTCCAAACTGACTATAAGGTTCTTCGTATTGTTTTATGTGGTGAGAGGTGATTTATTATGAACCAGTGAACTGCCACTCATTGATCAATTTATGAAAACCCGTGTGCTGCTAAATGGTGATTTACTGTATTTTCTTTTTTTATCTGAAAAGCAAGAAGATTTCATTAAGGCTCTCAAGGTAAATGGAAAAGAATTTGGTTGTACCATGTCTGGAGGTTGATCATTACTCAAGAACACTATCAAATGTAAATGATATTGTGGCTGCTGTTATGATTAGTTTCTTCATATGAATACTTTGCTGTAGAAAGTTGGCCTTATCAGTTCCCAATAAGAGGGAACATTACGCCTCAGTATTTGCTCTTACATTTCTTTCACAGGATTCAGTTGACTATGCAACACTAGGAGCTTCTTCTAAGTTGGCAGCCATTCTTACAACATACCCATTTCAGGTATGTTAGGGGTGTGATAAGTTTGTTCTTATCTCTATTGTTGGGAATATGGGTTCGGGGAGTTTTGAGCATTATGCAGCACTCATCTCCATGTGCCAATTTGTTCTAACAATCTTTTACCCTGTGCTCCATCACTTTTCTCTTTAACTAATTATGTATTTATATGAAACCTTTTCAGGTTGTGCGATCCCGATTGCAGGTAACTGCCTTTCATATTACTGCCTTACGTGACACTTGATACAACTCTTCTCAGTAGACAGGCATCTAGTGGTGATTTTAGTTTTCTGTAGAGTAGTTAAAGGTCTATCTTCTCTCTAACAGCAACGACCAAGTACAACTGGAGTTCCAAGATACATGGATAGCTGGCATGTTGTGAAGGAAACTGCAAGGTCAGGATGAATTTCAGCCTTCTTTACAGCCTATGCACTTGATTAAATATACATGAACGCCAAACATTAAGTTGCTTTATATTTGAAATGTTTTCAGAATCTAAATGCAAGTTCATCGATTGCAACGCTGGCTTTCAGTATCAGGGAATCAAACTAACAAACAAAAGCTGAAGAAATTCAAAATTCTTTTTTAAGATCATTAAGTTTAGAAAAAGGTTTCTGGTTGATTATTGAACTCTTTAAAAGCAGACTTCAACTTAAAAGGATACGCGGGGGAAGCAAATTGTATGTTTCAAATTTTCCAAGTCTTCTCTCAATCCTAAATTTCTTCCATCCTGCCTCCATCCATCATCTAATACATACAATAGAAGTCATCAAAATCGTAGTAGAACCCCCTTATTGGTAAACCTACCCCTTAATTTTATCCTCTTATTTCGTTTTCTTTTTCTTGTTGAGCTTACAGGTTTGAGGGCATACGAGGCTTCTACAGAGGTATCACAGCAAACGTGCTGAAAAATGCCCCTGCAGCTTCGATTACCTTCATTGTCTATGAGAATGTCCTAAACCTGCTAAAAATGTCTAGGAGAGAGTATTAGTTCTTTTCCATCCTTTTTGCCTCCAATTTCTTGTTGTAGCAATTAGGATTCTACACTATTGAAACTATTTTTGGAAAAAGTATACTCACAGATTTGACAGGAGTACAAATAGAAACAAGATGCCATTTAGGAGAATGTGAACAGGAGACAATTTAATGGCTGGTGTGGTGTAATTGTACTATATTTCTAGTCTTTGTAATTTATGAGAAAAGAAATAATCTTTTGAGACTTTGTTCAAGTACTCACGAAAGTTTAAACTGCTGCTGTAGCAAGAATTAATTGATGGAAGCTATGCTTCGACACCTAATAATAATGTATGTAAACCTTGTTACTGAAATGCATGTTGGTTGTTTGAAAGGTTTGAGTGGAAGAAATGTATCAACGTTTTTCCTCTCTCGATTAATCTTTGTTCTTATTTGCGATAGCAATATTGATGCTCTGTAATTTTGGGCTGAGGAAAAAATGTTCTAGTTGCATTGTACATGCTGCCAATTTTTTGAAAGAAAAAGTGTCTTGAGGAATAAATGACAGCCCAATTCTGAGTATAACAGGGTGCTTTCAGTTCAGCTTCAAATATATAATTGCCAGTTCTCAAATGTGATTTTGTTGGAACTGTTATTATATTGGAATTGACAGAAGTGACGATACATGCTTTACCAACTTGAAGAAATTAATGTGAAAAGGTCAAGGACATGTGTTATCATTTAAACTATTCCTGGCTCTTCGAAGAAGGATTGCGTAAAACATTCTTTTTACACTTTGTAAGTTGAGACAAGGTTAAGTTCATAGGGATCTTTCTACCTATCACGTACAACAAAATCATTCTAGACTATATTTTCTTGATTGTGTAAAAATTTTCTAAACTTCCTTAAATTTCACGTCAAGTCAAAACAGTATTTACTTTTGAATATAAATGTAAAAGCAAAAACACAGGAAGAAAATACATTGTTTTTACGGAAAAGGGTCAAAAATATCCTTAAATTATCCGAAATAGCTCATATTTATCCTTAAACTATATTTCGGCTCAAAACTTCCCTTCCTGTCAAACTATTGGGTCAAAAGTACCCTTCTTATTAACGGAAGTTGTTAAATGCCATGTGGATGCCACATTGCATGCCAATACTAATTACTCTTTTTTTCCACTGCCACATAGACTAAATTCCTAAATCCTAATTACTATTTTTTTTCCTTCATTTCATTATTTTTTAGAAACGATTTCACCCCTTCTCCCTCATTGAAGTTTCGTTTTTGTCCAGATTTTGTGATGTTTATTTCCAGATTTTACTTAATGTTTGGTAATGCATTTCTTTATTAGTTCTTTACTTAGTTTATGTCCAGCTTTTGTGAAGTTTATTTTCAATTTCTCTATTTCTTCATTAGTTCTTTACTTAGTTTATTTCCAGCTATTGACCAACTCTGCTGGTTTTTAACAAACAACAAGCTAGTGGTGGGTTTTGTATTTGGAGTAGTGTGTTTTGTGCTCAACATGTTTTATATGAAGTTCAAATATTTGCTTCCACTGTTAAAGTTCCTCATTTTGCAAATTGGTTTATCAAGTTACGATTGTTGGTGTTTTATTGCTGAATGTTTTCTGGTTAGTGGTGATAAACTCTACTTGTTCAATAACATACTTCAATGAGGGAGAAGGGGTGAAATCGTTTCTGGAAAATAATGAAATGAGGGGGAAAAAAAGTAATTAAAATGTAGGGATTTAGTCTATCTTGCAATGGAAAAAAAGAGTAATTAGTATTGACATGCAATGTGGCATCCACGTAGCATCTAACAACTTTCGTTAATAAGAAGGATATTTTTGAACCAATAGTTTGACGGGGAGAATAGTTTTGAGCCGAAATATAGTTTAAGGGTAAATTTGAGCTATTTCGAATCGTGTAAGAATATTTTTGACCATTTTCCGTTGTTTTTAAGTCATGAATAGCGTTTCCATAACCTAAGGGGCCCAAGTGTATGCTAGTAGGCCTAAAACCTCACTTCCCCAACCTTGGTATTTCTCCCAGACCGCTTAAACCCCCCACCGTAATCACCGTCTCCGGCGCCGTTACAAAGTCCAGGCAGAAGTTCTTATGCTATAAGATTCTGTAATCATGAGGTGCTTTAATCGATTTATCAATCATTCGCTGTCTCGCCGTTCTAGAACTATTTCCACATGTCAAACACCTTATGTGCATTCACGAATTCCACAGTCCAAGATTCAAAATTTATCCAAAACCCATTTCTACAGCTTCACTAAACCGTTAATTAGTTCAAATTTCACAACATCAGCTCAGGAGTCGAAGCCGGTTCCATCCGAGAGAGTATCTGCGATAGTCGATGAGATTTCGGGTCTAACGTTGCTGGAAGTATCGGATTTGGGGGAGGTTCTAAGGAAGAAAATGGGTATTGAAGAGATGCCTGTAATGGCAATGATGATGCCCGGAATGGGATTTAGTGCTGGAGGGATGAAGGGAAAGGGTGCAGGAGCTGCGGGAAAGATGGAAGAGAAAGCAGAGAAGACTGTGTTTGATTTGAAGCTTGAAGGGGGATTCGATGCCGGGGCAAAGATTAAGATTATCAAGGAAGTGAGATCTTTTACTGATCTGGGACTCAAGGAGGCTAAGGATTTGGTGGAAAAGGCTCCAGCTAGTTTGAAGAAAGGGGTTACGAAGGAGGAGGCTGAGAAAATTATTGAGAAGATGAAAGCGGTTGGAGCCAAAGTCACTATGGAGTGAGGTAATTGTTCATGCCATTTTAATCAAAATCCTGCTAATGAATTTGAATCATGGGATGTAGTTCTTGTAATAGGGAATGCGCCAAGGTGAATAAATGTACTGTACCAGTAGTTTAGTTTTTTTTCTCTACAAATATATGGATAATTGTTATGCATTCTGAAGCTAGACAGATCTTGGTTTCTAATTTGGTTGTGTTGTCTTGCAGTACACACATAATTATTATATGTCCTGGTCTCATATGCAACATATATCTGTTTTCTCATTTGTTGGTCAATTGATGCACTTTCTTGGATAACAATTTTGAAGCATGTCCTTCAACATCTTAATATCATCCCACACCAAAATATAGTTAGTGCACTGCGTGGTTTGCTTGTATTTTCAGTATTCTAATGTATCTTATGAATTAGTTTAAAATTCTAGTACAAGGTACAATTGTACAAACCTCTGTGGAGGCATAAGTTGGAAATGCTGAATCTTTCTTGTATATGATATTAGGTTTTAGGTGCAAATGAATTGTTTTAGGGTGAGGGAAGGTTGAGTTTACTAGTTGTGTGTCATCTTTTCTTTTTAGTACTTTATGCATGAAGCGCGGATCTTCGGTGGCATAATATGCTGCCTGATCGAAGATTAGTGGATTTGCTATGATCTACATTTTGTAATGTCTCTCAAAGTTTAGAAGGCTGGTTACAGAGTTTGAGTTGTTTGAAGTTTGTTGAAAAAATAAGGGGCCCAGTGCACTAAGCTTTCACTATGCATAGAGTTCGGTGGTGGGTCGGAACAGATTGGGTTGATTGTATGCTGCTTTACCTACTAGCACTTCTGCAAATGGCTCTTTGCACCGCTTGTCTAATAGACCTCCTGGTCACATGATGGCAACTCTTAATGTTGCACCAAGGCTATCCTTCACTTGAAGCTCTGTTGACACATATATTTCCTGCATGTTCCTCCAGCCCATCTTGAAGACTATGAAAAGCTTCTTCATTACATACCGATTCTCTGATAAATTGTAGGGTAAAATAGTTGAAGGGGATTCGACATGTTGTGAATATGGTTTTCAGTACAACCTATGTACACAAATGTTGAAGGGGACTGATAGAATAAAAATGAATGGGGAAAATGTTCTCAGTTTTCCAAGTGGGAGAATTTAAGTGACTATTGACTTCACTGTGCATTTTCCCTTGTTTGATCTTCTATAACCAAAAAAGTAATACTTCCGTTTGATTAGTTTTACCCAGCATGTAGCTGATCTTTACTAGTATTAACTTATCAGTGTCTATCTAATTTGATTTGGTCAACAATAGCTATATCTTTTCTTTAGGAGAGCGCTATGTGAAAGGTTTAATTATCTTGTAATTAGTTATTTATGTATCAGCTTGTTGTGAATAACATCTACTAACCTGCAAACTGTAGATACTTAATACTACGATATGTAGTCCCTTGGAGGTTTAACCTTCATCTATCTCAAACTGTATGAGATGGAATGGAATTGTGTCATCTTCACCTCTCTCTATTTGAAGATGAGATGACATAATTTTGTCTTTTTTTTTGTATTAAGTAAACAATTTATCATTCTTGTTTTGGGACAGAGAAGGAAATGCCCTTCTTTCTTACTAAAGCTTACCTATCTTTTGTGTGCTTGTACAGATCCATTGATTGTATTTCTGCAACAAAGATCGGGAGCTAACAGGTCATGACTTTGTAACAGAATCTGCATTTGGTGATTGGGAGGTTCATGGTTACTGAGCATGCATTAACCAGCTCAAAGGCTAGCTTTTCTGTTTTGAAAATAAAGGAGACGGTGACGCTCCTAGGACATTGTAGAGCTATTTGGTTGAGAACTGACATCTTATAATGAATTCACGTTGTTATAGGTATGATAGATAGTGAGCTGAAAAGGCTATGGTATATTTTGCAACTATGGATTAGTTTCCAATCCAGTTAGATCAGTTTGTACTCTTTTAATTATCTAGGATACAGTTGGGTTGAGATTATCATGACAAGGTTGACACACATAGTGAACAAAGCTGGACTTGTCCGATTCTAATTCACATTTCAAGCTAATGAATTAATGTTTTTGTTTTAGTTCCTACCAGAACAATAACTCACATCAGTGACATTAAACTGAAAATCATACTAACTTGTTTTAGACGGTAGATATCATTTGGATGATGACCTAATTGTTTAAAAGATTATTTATTATTATATATAGTATATAAAACTTCAAACTCTTAGTTCCGCACCAAAACAAGTTTCTCTTGTTGTTGGAAGTAAAAAAATTCGACTGAAATTGTGATGCAAGTATTTGGTTTATTTTCCGTCCTACGAAGAATAATCTGACAAAGATCCAACGTTTGTTTAAAGATTCTATATTTGGCATGGTACATTTTGGCGTCTATCTAATTGGATACAAGAAGATAATTATGAAAGCAGAAAACAATTTCTTTCGTATCGAACACACCCTTAGTCACTGGCAGACTTCAATTACTTCACGCAGTAAGATGTACATGCAACACAAAAATAAAAATGTGTACTTGGTATGTCATAGACTATATTTAAGAGGAAATTATTTTTATTTTCTGATGTTTGATATGACGGAAAAATCAAAAGGGGGAAAATGAGATTTCATTGTACTAGTAATAATCTTAATTTTTAAATTCATATTACTTGTTTATTCAAACCAAACAAACACCAGATGAAAAATATCTGCTTATAATATACCAAACAGTGCTCTAAGAAGAAAACAAGAGGAAGTAACAAGTGATCGATGAAATTGAAGTTTTTGAGCTTAGTCGATGAGAACATTCACTTCAAAGCACAGACATAGGGGCATTCTGATAACGCCAATTGACATGCTTTGTATCAAACATTTTGGGAAAACAACATCAGCAAATTATTATATATCTCTATTATATTATTATCCAATAGCGTTAATAATTCACTAAGTCCATGTACTCTTGGAAAAATACAATAAGTAAATATTAATATTCCAAGAACAAAATACAATCTTTTTAATACATCAGGTGCGCAACTGCGCAAACAGCATATTCTCCATATTAATATATACTATCAAATTACCTAAAAGATAGTAACGTAACATATACGTGCAGGGATGGAGGTAGATGCAATAGCTTTTGCTTAAAGTACCATATGTATTTGTATTAGGAAATTCAATAATTAAAAATGTACAAATAATTAAGCGAACATATCAATAACTAAGATGAGCTATGAATTTGATGATAAGTTCAGAACTCATAAGTATCAAATATTGGTGGCTCCTGACTTCTGTTGTGTATGTGACCATCCATAATACATAAAATGTTGAATCAGTAACTTAAAAAATAAAGCACGCAGTGAATTACTTACTATAACATGTTATATAAAATGTTATGGATAGTTTCAAGACGGGTAGAGGCAGATCGAAGAAGTATTAGAAAGAGATTATTAGACTGTACATGATGTAATTTTAGTTTACCGGAGACGTGAACGTAGATAAGAGGTTGTGAAGGGCATGAATTAGGGTAGAAGATTAGTATGTAGTAGTCTAGTAGAGCATTGTCTTGTTTATCCTTCCATACTAGTAGTCGTAGCATAACTCTTGTAGTTTCATTGCCTTCAATTCCAGTTACAGTTTGTTGTTTTTTGTACTTCGACTATAACATTATTTTGTTGTAATTACTACTAGTCAGTATGATTTGTCATGTTTTCTATTGTATTTTATCATGGCTTCTTCATTTCCGTTATTTCACTCCTTTGGATTATTTTTCCCTTGAGCCGATGGTCTATCGAAAACAATCTCTCAACCTCCAAAGTAGGGATAAGGTCTGCGTACAATTTATTCTTCTCAAGCTTGCTTTGTTGGATTGCACTGAATATATTATTGTTGTAATATAAAGTTGAATTCTATTAAAAAAACATATTTCTTGATTCTAGGGTCCCTTATATAAAGCACCAACTAGTTAGATGTTTAATATCTTCAGAGAATTAAGGAAAGAACAAAACCAAAAAAATGGTGCAATTTATTCCACATATTGTAGCTATACCTTATCCAGCACAAGGCCATGTTCTTCCATTAATGGAACTTTCGTTATGGTTAATCAAAGAGCTTGGTTGCAAAATCACTTTTGTTAACTCTGAATTCAATCATAAAAGAGTGATCAAGTCATTATCCGAAAACGATGACGTACAAGACAAGATAAGTTTAATTTCAATCCCAGATGGATTAGAACCTCATGAAGACAGAACAGACCTTAAAAAGTTGACAGAATCAATTAATGAAGTTATGCCTGGGAAACTTATGGAAGTCATTAATATGATTAATAGTAATGACTCACAAATTTCATGTGTTATAGCTGATGAGAATATGGGATGGGCATTGGAAGTAGCTGCAAAATTGAACATTAGAAGCGCTGCATTCTGGCCTGCTGCTGCTGCTACGCTAGCGTCTTTATTTAGCGTCTCGAAACTAATCGATGATGGAATCATAGATAAAGATGGTGAGCTACGTCCTTTCTCTAACAGCTTAAGTTTTTTCATCGCACTTTAATACTTTACATCACGAAAGCCTATAATTAGACGTTTGTAGCTAGAAAAGGTTGTGTTTAAAATTAATCGAAGTATGTTTGAATAATTACAAATGACGAAGAATGAATCTATATTTGTGCACGGAAGGAAGTTGTGAGTATCTAATTTAGTTGTATAATCTTTAACAAAATTTGCATTTCAGGAGCTATATTGAGGGCAGAGGGGATTAAGCTATCACCAAACATGCCCATCATGAATCCATCAGACTTTACATGGGCTACATTCCCTGATCCAGCAATGAGGAAAATGATAATGGATCTCGTAGCAGACAACAATGAAAGAGTGAAATTCGCAGATTGGATCATTTGTAACTCAGCAAAGGAACTGGAGCCTGGGGCATTTGCCATGTTTCCTCAAGTGTCACCAATAGGGCCTCTTTTGGCAAGCAACAGATTAGGATCATCAGCAGGGCATTTCTGGCCCGAAGACTCGAATTGTCTAAAATGGCTTGATCAACAGCCACATAACTCTGTCATATACGTAGCGTTTGGTAGCTTTACAATCTTGGATTTAACTCAATTCCAGGAGCTAGCACTGGGGTTAGAATCATCCAAACGACGATTCCTATGGGTGGTTCGAGAAGATTTAATTTTGGATGGGGACGATAGTGCTTATCCCAAAGGTTTCAAAGACAGAGTAGGTGCTAGAGGCCATATAGTGAAATGGGCACCTCAACAAAAAGTGCTAGCACATCCTTCTATTGCTTGTTTTTTGAGTCATTGTGGATGGAATTCGACTGTGGAGAGTGTAAGCAATGGGGTGCCTTTCTTGTGTTGGCCTTATTTTGCTGACCAATTGTTCAATCAGAGTTACATTTGTGATGTTTGGAAAGTTGGATTGGGATTTAACAAAAATGAATTTGGAGTTATTGGAAAAGAAGAATTCAAAAATAAGATGGATAAGTTATTTGGAGATGAAACATTTAAAGAAAGGGCTTTAGATCTTCAAGCAAAGGTTAATTCTAGTGTCAAAGAAGGAGGAAATTCTAACAAGATGTTTGGTAAATTTATTGACTGGATCAAGACTCAAAGAGGTTCAATTTAATTGGGAAAATCAGGGACCATAACTCTCAAGAATACTATATGGACGATTTTTAGTACTTGTTTAACTTGTGAACTTTTTTATTTCCTTTAGTTTTTGGTTCAATCAATGTCCCCATGAGAAAATTTTCATTTCTGTGATACGTCCAAGTTTAAAGAAGTTATATCAACAAGTTAATTTTGTTTCTGTTTCCTCATTGAGAAAATCTCCTGTGTGATTAGACAAATATGCGAAAAAATTTGATCATTCAATCCAAAAATATTAAGGAAATGGTAGGCATATTAGTCCTAAAGCCTCACTCAGACTTGGATAACGGGACCAAAGTATAGGCGGCAAATTCATTTTTAGATCAAATTATTAACTGACATTTTATACAATTTCGTATTAAGAGTATTTTTTATATATATACTTTTTCGATTTTTCTAATACTATGTCAAGCCAAGACCTTTCCTACAAAGAAGCCACGGCTCAAGAGCTTCGAGCCGACTCCATACTAGACGAAGCTTCTGGTTGAGTCGGTACGGTACGTTTGCAATTTCATCAAACAAAACATTATGGTATCTCTCTGAGAAAAGAACCTACTTGGTCCCTTTGTTCCACAAGATAAAAAATAAAAAATAAAAAGAAAAAAATGTCCAATTATGTGTAATCTGTTATCGCTATTGCTCTTCCATAACTGTTCAATCCCTGAAAATCCCATTACAGAAAAATACATGAAAAAAGTAAAAGAAGACGATATATAGTCATGGCTGGTTAAAATGATTGCTTTTTCTACTTTTATTTATACCGTCTACACTGTAATATGAGATCTGGAAGGATAGAGTTTGTTTAAAATTGAATCAAAATTGATAATCTGAATCGAAAAAAAGTTATTAGTTTATTAATAATGGATTATTGGTTTAGTGGTTTTGATAACGGTTTTGAATTTTTTTGTTATCAGGTTATCGATTCTTAACAGTTTGAAATTTTTTCTTAACGGGTTAACCGATAACCCGATAGTAAATTAAATAATTATATTTATATCATTTTGTATATAAAAATGTTTGCTTTTGAGCAAGATGTAACTTGTGAACTCATGTGCATGGTTCATTTGGTTTGCCACCTTGTTTTTAAGTGATTTTAAATGTTTTTTTTGTGTCAAATCTTAATGGTTAAACCGAACCGATAACGATCAATAACCCATAAGCCAATACTTTAATGGTTCTATAACGGTTTAGCATTTCTACAAACCGATAACCAATAAGACAAATCGATTAACTTTAAAATCGAACCGACCGATACACAGTGTATGCAGATCTTATTTTTTAAATTTTAATTTTAATTTTAGAATCACAATAGTTGCAATTTGTCTGTTACTAGGCTCTTCTAGTTAAATTCCCTTTAATCTTCTTGATAGTTCAAAGACGAAAGAAATCCAAAATTGGACTTGTTATTTTGTTTGTTTTAAAAAAATTGTAGGGATTGTGAGTTGTGCACATGTTCCTTAAAGCGTTAGTATTACTACTGGTAGTACTAGTTGTCACTGATGTCCATAACATAGCATGTGAGGCCATAACATGAAAGAGCAGAGCTGTCTGTTTCACTGAGATATCATGTGAAAACACTCAGAAAATTACACCCCACTTCCGCCATATTTTCCGGTACCACATTTTCTTTAATTTAATTCGTTAACTTAGTGTATAAAAATTATGTTCAATTGAATTTAGTAATTTTGATAATAAAATATTGAATTCATCAAATCTGAAATTTAAGTTAGCTGATCTGTTGTCAGCTCTCACATTCAGTGAGCACGTCTGAAGCTAAGGCGTGGCTTCTGATGGAAAGACTTCAGATTTTTTGTCTGCATTCTAATTCTATATATGACAAAAAGACAAATATTTTTGTGACTAAAACTTCTACCTAAATATAAATTGACAAATTAAAAAGTTAACTGTGTTGTTTTTTTAATATAAAGTATAATTACTACTTGGAGTAAATGAAAGAATTAGTACACTATTAATGTCTAAACAACAATGCAAATCCTTTGGGTATTCATAATTTCCCAATTAATTAAGGCTATTACAGAGCTGAATAGTAACAAAATGTTAAAAATTGAACTACTAATATAGAAAGGTTAATTAAGACTTTTGTGACATACTAGTAACTATTTAATCCTGAAATTCAGCAACACACCTAACCCTTACATAGCTTGAATCTAATTAAAAGAAGAGAAAAATAATTTAACTCAAACGGAAAAGAAAGAAGAAAATTGAAGCAATTTTTTTATTTTTGCTTTCTGTTTTTCAGTTTTTGGGAGGTAAAACTGCTAAATGTTACTATACAGGATTTTGATCGGTATTTGATCCATAAAAATCGACGAGTTTCTGTAAAACGAAGACCTGAGTTCTGAGAAGAACAATGTAATCAGCAGTTTCTTTGAACAACTGGTCAGCTTTGATTTCACCATTGTTGGCTGGAATTAACTGCTTCAGAGCCTCCAATTTTTCAGAAACGGAACCGCCGTCAACGTCAACAAGATTTTGAGATTTGCATGTTTTTTTGTGAGTGGTAGATCTTCTTGTTCTTCTCATAGATAAGCTACCGGAGCTTAATTTTGAACGAGAACCCATCAGAATTGCTTTCTTAGAGAAGAAGAATTTGAGTTTCCGGTGGAACGGAGGGAGATAATCGTTAAATCTGTTCCGTGCTAATATAACGGAGAGAGCAACGCGTTTTGGGGGTTTAAGTAATGGAAGCTTTTATCATTGCCCCTCCTTCGTCAATAAATTACATAAATACCATTACCACTTTTTGGTAGTCGCTCTGTTCTTATTTATCCGTTTATTAATAATTAAATTTAAATTCCATATTTATTAAAAAAGAATAATAATTTATAACCCTAACAAATATCATTGAATACTTTAAAGGAAAAATTCTTTGGCCACAATCTCTACTTCTTTTAATAACATAAATTTCACAAGAACATATAACTATAAAAATCCTTATTAAATCCTAGCATATTCGAACTTTATCACATAAATATCTTGACTTTATTTTTATTTCAACTTTACTACTCTAACGAAGGTATATATGTATTAATTAACTACTCATAATTACTTACTTATTTAAGGAAGAGATAAAGATACTTAAACTATATGAATTTTGATTAACACTTTAAGATATATTTTTTCATCATATTGATATGAAAAAGTTGCAAGTTATAGTACTTTTCATATAATTTTTTAATATCTAAAATTTAAATAATTTTAAAATATCGAATGAATGTAATCTAATTTAGTTTTAAAAATTAGTCAAATTGATTCTTGAAAAGCGCAATGTGACTGGAAGCGAAAATACCCTAAAAATGACTTCTTTCTTCGAGGACTATCTTGGTGATTGTTACTTTTGGTGGTCTTTCTTTTTTGCTGACTCGAGATTCAAATCTGAAATCGTTTGGTGAGACATTCAATTCAAGAACCGAAAAATAATTTGTATGATTAATGCTATCAAATGCTTTATTTAATTGATAATTTGATTTGTAAATCCTTAAACATCATCATATCTATAAAAAGAAATGGAGAGATTGTAATGTACTTGTAAAAATCAACACAAAAACATACCACAAAAATTTAATAAATGTAATTTTAATTCAATTTTTGTTTCTGCATTACCTATCTACAGAATAGAAACAACGCATGTTAGTTGTTACTATTAAAAATAAAAAGGACAGATTTATTAAAGAATAAATAACAAGAAAATATATGACATCATAATAAGATACTATAGTTATAACTGTCAAATTCCTCCACTAAAATATTTCCAACAAATTTTTTGGACGCATGCTATTTGCAACCGTTTAATTGACGTGATAGGATTAAATAAAACCAACAGAAATAATTAATTATAAATTTGAGATAGCAACTGTATCAGAATTATTGAAATAAAAGTCGACATCAATTAATTTCTTAATTATTTCCTCAACGTTCTAGAGAAAGCACGAGCGAAAAATAATAAATGGCTTTAGCAAAAATCATTTCTTGCCAGAGAAGCGTTCATTAATAACTTCACATGAATTTAGGCTTATTGGCCATGCACAATTCAATTCGTAGTATCCTATAATTATTGAAAAATTTGTACCATAGGTGATTCGTACAAATTTTGTAACCGAAAAGATAAAAATTTACACTCTTCGTTAAATTTTTAACTCTGTCATTTGTCACTCCTCGAGAGTCGAAAGTACTCATCTTAAAGCAAAAATATCTCAAAATTGTTTGAAAATTCAAACTACTAGGACTTGTAAAAGCCAAACTAACAAAATTGTAGGCCGTGTAGTTTCCATTATTATATTATTACAAATAATAGAAAGGTCCCAAAAAAAAGTTAATGGTCCTGTTCATTTATGGGCGCTTTTTTTTTCTTGATGAACCATGACATTTGGGTTCTCTATAACAATGAGAAATGAGAATAGGTCCCAACTCCACGACGTGTTATTTTAATTCATGTGAAATAAGTACTTCTCTTTCACATGTTAACACAAAGTTATTGAGATTTGAATTCGTGACACTATACTCTGAAATGGAACTAATTAGTATCTACGTACATTTAATATGTTTAAAGTTTATGATTTGATATTTATGTCAAATAGATTAATGAGAAGAATGAACTTCCTGGATACACTAATTAGGGCAAAGACATTAAAATTGTTTTTAATTTTGTCAAACTTTTTTTTTTTTTTAGAACCTCAGGATAACCCGCAGCTGCTACAACCTCTGCCACAGCCTCTGCCCTTCGGGTGAGCAGGGTAAACCCCCCACTGTGTAATAGTCTGCAAATCACACAGGGGATGTAAACCGCACTAGGCAAGCCCTCGACTCAGAAGGCATTGAGGGGGATCGATCCCGGATCATCCGTGTGGATAACCACCCTCCAAACCAACTGAGCTCTATGAGTCAAACTTTTTTCCATGAGTATGTTTTTTGTGCCAAATTAACAAACTCAAGAGAAGAACAACTTTTTAGTTCTTCACATCCTAATGTAGTATATGTCTACCATCAATAAATATCATAAGGTGTTTTTACACGAATGATGATTATTATTTTTTGCATATTAAATAGTTAAATTAATACGGCGATATTTTTTATTAGAGATGGAAAAATCTCAGCCGCCCTATCATACTCCTCTCGATATAGGTATTTATTTGGTGAGAAAACTAAACCAATTTGGTTACGTAATTATTAGGGTAAAATATTATGTATCCAAGTTGACAAAGAAATTTAGAGGACAAGGCTTTGCCAGAGAAAGCTGGCTTAGATCACATGTGAAATGACGGGACCTTCTATTTTTGTACCCAAATTACCCTCAATAAATGTCCAAATAAAGGTTATACTTTTCCCTCTTAAGTCATTTTTATTATTTAGGATATTCTCTTGTAACACTCTTTTTGAGTCTCTAGCTCTTTCCCTTTTTCCTCTTTTGCACAGACCATTTTATTAGATATTTTTCCCTCCATAGTCAATCTACTCACGCTTGATATTTATACACGTCCATTTGTTAACCAAAGAATGTTAATGCATGATAAAGTATAGAAAATATCATATCATAATACAGTAATATATGTAATGACAATTGATACATTATTGAGTGTAAGATTATGTTGAATCGTCGAGTGACGTTGAACTTGACCATGTTAATTAGATAGATTAAAAAGGGAGCCGTTATTCATTTATTTCTATAACATTTTAGTAGAGAATAATCTAAAATTAAGGTAGACAAGAGAGTACTTTTTTTGAAGGACTATAAAAAAGGTGAAGCAAAGATAAGAAAGGGCAAGAAAGTCATTGAATAGGGAAGAAAAGTTAGTTAGCTAGTTGTGTAAGGGTGCATGTGAATGTGTGTATGGGCCAACAATGCCTAAAAAACGTACATCAAATAAGACCATTTACATGAGGAAAATCAAAGGGCCTTCATCTTCGTCATTTAGAATCGAATTCAAAATTTAAATCTTATAAATTTTTATAACGATCATAAAATAGTTAGGTTTTTCATGATCATTAAATATTAATGTCATATACAGAGTTTGAACAAAAGTTATTAAATCCGTGAACACAATAATTATGTTAAGAATTCCCACATCGGAAAAGGAATGAGAATTTGATCTCTTTATATGGATTTGAACAATACTCCCTTCACAAGCTAACTTTTGAGATTGAGTTAGGCCCAAATCCATCTTTTCAGACACCCTTCTGACTCGGCTACTGTCACATAGAGGTGGGCCGATGGAAGAAAAAGCACATGGGATATTGCACATGCTAAGGTAAGAGGCAAATAGAAGAGAGAAATAAAGTGTTGAGAGAGAGGGGGCATGTGACAATGTATAGACAGTGAAGCAGCATGAAATGTACAGCTTGTTCTGCACATTCCCTGCATGCTCCTCTGCTCTATTTCCTTCATTCTTCCTTTGCCTCACACCACAAATATTGTTTTAACTAACTCGATCTCAACCATATATATAATGGACGTAAAAAAAGTTATTCACGCTCCGAGTGTTTATACCAAACAAACAATGAATAGACGCAATATCAATGTATTATATATCTCAATTGTTGGCTAATAGAAATATGATTATGAGTTTTTTTAAAATCACAAAATATTTCAATTTAGTCACATGTGAGCATGTGATTTCCTAGCTATCTATATACGGCATGTAAGCCACGTGTGACTAATGCTCGTGCTTTCATCTGTCATTAAATAATTGATATCTATAATCTCAATTTATTGTACTATAATATATTTCACGAACTTGTGATTAAAGTTGTCTTTTTCCAACTCAAATCCTCTTTTTTAATAATTCAATTGGAGTATTAATTAATTTAGTGCCAACCCTCCCTCTCCACCTTTTATTGAATTTTTTATCGTATACAAAACTCTAGCTCTGTCCCTAATTATAAGAATGATAGTAATAGATCTATATATTCAGGTCCCTACTGCCGAATGTGATTTTGAATTTTGTTTCTTTTGACATAACAATGACAATGAGCGCGCATCTCATCAAAAATTTATAATGTACAACTATTTGATAAAGACATATCGGTGAAACTTAACTTATGCATTGTCTAATTCATAAGAATTTTTAAGGGCGTATATCGTTTTTATTAGGAAAATATGACACATCAAAAAATAGCATTTGATATGTATATAGAAAATTATACCGTAAATACGTAAAACTTATAAACCTAATTTATAATCATGTTTCGTCAAGTGAATACATCAACATCAGTTATGAATAGCAGCAGCAGCTACATTTACGATTCACCATGTGTTTCACTTGTCTGCTTTATTCCTTTTGTTTTTTGGTCGGCATTGTGCACAAGCTGAGCTACCTCCCTTATAATATATACTTGTTTATTATTACAAAAACATTTTTTTAGAAAAGAATAACTAGTACTTTTGGTTGCTGATCTATATATCACTTTACTTCAGTCAACATTTTTATATTATCACCTTCAATAGTACTCCTAAAAAATATTACTTATGATATATCAAACCATTGTCGTCATAATATAGTAGTAATACATGTTTCCATATTAATTATGAAGTCATTATTTTCCAATAGAATTCCATTGTTATGAATACACCCGCTCCACTCGGCCGGTTATAAGTCGATTTAATCGATGAGTTCACGTGAATTTAATAAGTTAATAATCGGTGCCTCCTTTTTTTTTTGGTTTTAAACCATTTGATAAGCCCACTTGTTTTGTCCCGCATGCACAATTGTTTCTGCGTTTCTTCTTCTTTTACACTTTTTCCCCATTTGTCGTTTTGTTATACCTTTTTCCTCTCTTCTTTTGTTCTTTTGTTTATTTTTATTCATTTTTCCTTTCCCTTGTAATGTTGCTATGCTTGCGTCGGAGACATTTCTATATTTTTCCTCAAGATTTTATACAATTTTCCCTACTTTATCTTTTCTAACAATCCCTTTATTATACTTACAATTTATACAAATTAACTAATTGTAAAATTTCATAATTAATTCAACTAGTATATAAATAAGAAATAGGGTATTTTTCAATTTGTAGTCCGTTTTAAAAAGAATATTTGTTTAAACCCTTTAATTATTTTTTATTTATTTAAAACTCCATGTTATGAAATCAAAATCAGATAAATAAATTAAAACAAATAAAATTGTAAAAGCACATTAAATTAATTAAAAGGTAATAACATAAAGTTCGTCTAATATGTCATATCTTACATTTATTGTAGCGTTAGCCAAATTTTGGGAGGCGGAATGATTTTGTTCAATCACATTGGCCGGACTTGTGAAGTATGTGGGCTGACAAATGACAACAGATACCATATATGGGCCATAATGTCAAGAGCCTTCTAATTCTTGGTCCGTAATATTATGCATTAGATTAAGGAGAAATTACGTGAATAAGTAAATATATATTAGTTAATTAGCTAATATAATTATAGTTTTATTAGTTACCACTCTCAACTTAATTTTAGCTATAATTACTTGTGCCTCTCTCCTCTCTTCCTTTCCTCTCTTATACATATACAAATATGAATTATATATATATATATATACAATAATTATATGATAGATATACAAATACAATTCACCTCTCTTTACTCTATGCCCTCTCTCGCTTGCCTCTCTCCCTTCCTCTCCCAATATCGTACGTCTCTGTCCTCCCTTAACATGTAGCTATGAATCATGATTAACAAACTATAGTTATGAAGCATAATTAAGTTTATTTTAGGACTATTTGTGAAATTTTCTCTTAGATTAATCATTTAAATATATTATATATTTTTTTAGTTATGTGCATTAATTTAAATAAAATGTGAAATCTCGTACATATTTAAATTAATCTATGTTTTCAAAGGAGAAAACACGTGTTATGTGATTAACTTGTTTACGTAATAGTAAATTGTGAATACTCACAAAACTTTTCTACATAAAGAGTCTAAAATAAATATTTTATCACGTATTTAGATGATTCATTGAAAAATCCATAGTTTGAATATGCAAAAAAAAATTACGAAGAAATTTAAAAGGCATTAATATATTCAATGTAATATAAATAATATATTACTTTAATACAGATTGGTCCATTCATGGCATAATTATATTACTTCCTCTGAGTAAATTTGTTTATTCTACTTTCATTTTGAATATGTTTTTAAAATAATGTTTTTCTTCTTTATGATACTTTATCTGTTTTAATTTGTATGACATTTTTATTTTTTAAGAGTAAAATAATTTAAGTTTGATCAAAATTTTGTGCATGAAATTTTTAGCTTTTTTAAAAATGAAATTATGTACTTGCAAATCACGTAAAAAGCATTATAAATCACAATAATTAAAAAGATATATGAAAAATTTACGATAAGAGATAGATTTAGTTGAATCTAGAAATCTGAAAGGTGCCACGTAAATTGAAAGGGAGTAATATTTTTTAATTTCAACTTTTCATGTGAAAAGTTTTAGACTACAAACTTTAAAAATATTCATTATTTTTATTTATATCAAGTCAAAATAAGATAAAATGAAAGGAGTATATTTCATCATAATTAAACTTTTTATTTTTTTATGTTATGAAGAATAGGTTTTTAAAACGTATTATAATATCATTAATTTTGAATACTTATAAATACATACATTCAAAAAAAATTGATATACAAATCACGCATGAATGCTAACTTACATCAGTTTATCATAAATTGTATATGAATCAATAATATTAAAGGTCAATTAACTATTACAATAATATTAATTGTGTATTTTGAAATTCATGCTTACAATATTTAAAAAAAAAAAATAGAAAGTGAATAATATTATATTTTTTATCCAAAAAATAATACTAAATACCTCAAAAGTCTCCTTCTATTCTAGTTGATACGTCATGTCATTAAATCATCATTTAAAAAAATAATAGACCTATTTAATTCATCAAACTTATGTCTCTACAAAACAAATATATAAATTACATGAGAATTTGTGAAGATTATAAAAAAACTTTAAAAATCTAATTCCTTTATATATTTTTACTAAACAAAATTCAATGAAAAAAATCTCTATGTACAATTATTACCCGGTAGTTTTTAAAATTTCTAAGTAAATTATTTGAAAATTTTAAGAAATTTTTTTCATAAAAGTATTCAAATAAATTTGTAAGGTTGACAAAAAAGTTGGTATGAAAGAGAAAATTATTATTTAGATTTTTTTTAATTTAATTTTTTTATTATTGTTTTATTCTATATTATATTATATTTTAACTTCTCATACAATTAAACACCAATATATATTCTTATCTCATCCCAAATTTATGAAATACAAGTAATAATTAATTGAATTGCCTATTTTAATTCAATAATATACATATTATATGAGATTAATATACTGATAAATAAAGATCAAAATTTATTTTCTAATATAAATATTATTCACTTTCTATTTTCTTTTAAAGAAAAAAGATATTGCAAGTAGATATGAATTTCAAAGCACCCAAAAATTATTTTTTAGTAGTTAATTGATCCTTAATATTATTGATCCATTATATAATATATGATTAATTGATGTAAGTTGACATTCGTAAGTGATTTATATATCAATATATTTTTTTGCATATATGTGTTTATAATTATTCAAAATTGATGACATTATGATAATTTTTAAAAAACTATTCATCATCACATAAAAAAAATTTAATTATGATAAATGATTCTTAAGTATGAAAATTTATTCTTAATAAACTAATAAATCTTTAAAAAAAAATATGATCATTATTTTAGTTAAATGGGTTTAATGAATTAAATTAGTATATTATTTAAAAAAAAAACTTTAATGACATGTCATGCCAACTAGGAGAGAGTGAGACTTTTGGAGTGTCAAGTATATTTGGAGGAAAATAATGATAGTTGAGTGATATTTTGATCCTAAATGAAACATAAATGATATTTCAAGGCAATTTCCTAAACTTGGTGATTATTTAGGGAATTGACTCTAAAAGAAATAGGGTCTATTTTTAAAGCGAAAAGTGGGATGCGACGGAACGCCGTCGTTCTTGTTGGGTCTTCACAAGGGCTACGATCTGGTGCATCAGCAGCATACAATATAAAGAACGTTGGCATTTCTTGCACCGTTATCAAGAAAAGATGGGACCCACAGGGCCCAATCCGAACGGTACGCAGTTGTTTTTTTGGGACACACATCAATAACAAATTTCTATTTCTCTCTCTTAACTGCAAAAGTCTGCTAATCATTCTCTTCCGATTCCGGCGACGATACCGGGGAATGTTTTCCGATGACGGTCTGATTTCTTTAAAGAGGTAATAATCTCACAATCTTTGCTTCTTTGTTTCAGTTGTTTGATTTTTCCTGACGTTCATTTCCATTGATTGATCATATCTCATTGATAAATAAAAAGTTCATAGGTTTAATTTAGGGTTATATTCGAATTAAGGGTTCAAATGGAGAGGAATAGATATAGAGGATTCATATGATGGACTAACAAGTTCGGATTGTTAATGTTCTTGTTGTATTTTCTAATTTAGGTTTTTTTTCTTTCTTTCCGTTGGTTTTTTCCCCCTTTTTTTAACCCAGAAAGTTATACTTGTTTTGTTTGTTTTCAGCCTTAAGAAAGTGGACAAAAATTGAACCTTTTTCGGGTGGGTGGGTGGGTGGGTGGAATTACCTTTATTTTGCTCATTTTCTGGATGCGTATGCTTTGTCCTTTTTCATGTACCGGTTGCTACTATTTTTTTTTGTGGGTAATTGTTGAATCTGTTTTAGTAATTTTCTGAAAGGGACGGCCTTTTCTCTTCAAGTATTTTCTGGGATTTTGATCAGTTCACTGAGTTTCCTCCAACACCATAACATCTCCTTGGTGTTTTCATAAAGCTGACAGCTACTTGGATATATGATCTTTACATAACTTATAGTGTTCTTTTACAGGTCAATACGCAAACTGCAAAGACTTTTGTTTGTATATTACTTATGAAGGAAATAAGAAAATTGAAATTTGTCCATGGGTAGACCGTTGCAGAAGAACGATTCATTCTTCTCTTTGCGTCTAGTCTGTTTTATTTCCAAGCGAATCTCTATGTAGGAAGAAATGTCATTGCAAGTTTTTTGTTTTTTCGTTCTATTTTTATATTTGAAGATTTATTAAGTTGGAACTTTGAACCTCATTTGTTTGAGATATTTGGTCAGAATAAAATATGACCCCGGTGGTCAGGAAGTGTTTTGAGATATTTGTAGTAATTAACCTCATAGATTCTCATTTCACATATCTTTATAGCTTCCTTGTTTGTCCAACATCCATACTTTTTTTTTTTTTTTTCTTTATTCACAATTTCATGTCATCTAAGCATGATTTAGTATAAATGTATACTTAGATATTTGGGTTATCTTCACAGTTACTCTTGATTTATTGCATAAGGAAACCAGTTTCTTAAAACTGAAACTCTGCATGCAGATAAGTTCATGCTTTTGCAAGTCATTATCTAGGTGAAGAATTATCCTTTCTCTGAAGTGCAGTATGATTGCATCAACTGCAAGGCATGAGAGCTGATTGCTTTGAATTACCAAAATCTTTATAAAGAGCTGAAAAGCAGACTATATTCCAGCTGGTTTCCTTGTTGTGCACAAGATGGCGTGTGAAGAAATTCTGAAGGCTGTATTCCCATTTCTGGAGGGCACTGAACTGGCTACATGTATGATAGTGTGCAAACAGTGGCGAGATATTGCACAAGATGATTATTTCTGGAAATGTCTTTGTTCTAAAAAATGGCCATCAATTTGCAAACGGTCATCACCTCCCACTGTAACATACTATAATCTATTTCAGAACTTTCATAAGCGTCCATACCGCCGGACTGTTCTCCCTCCAAAGCTTTCCTTCAGTGACTTAGAGTTCTACATTGACATATGGACTGAAGAGAAAATAATATTTTCAGATGTGGTCCCAGGGCCTGTTCTTCAGAAGGGAGTCTGGATCCCACCTCCTGGAATCTGTGATGTGCTTAGGTTCCACTTGGAAGGGCCTGAATACAAGATGACTCTACCTGTGGAACCAAGATTTACAATTCCTTTGTGCCAGACAGTCAGTGTCTCTGTGCTTGTTGGGCGCAAAGATACAAATAAAGTTGCATGCATTATCAAGAAGTCCCTCTTTGATTATATAGATCGAACAGCATATCGGGCTTTAGCTTATGACTATCTTGACTTCTCCTCTCCTATGTGCTTGTTTGTATCGGGTGTTCGGGCATGGATATCTTTGCTGTTCATGGACCATGGTAAAGAGGGGGCCCTTGATGTTTTTGGGATTGAGATGGATTTCTGTGATGCTGCCAATTCTGAAGACGAGGTCCTTTGGCTTCTAGACATGCTGGAGTGGAAGTAAGTACAGTGACTTCCAGATATCTGTGAGGTGGCCAGTCGCCTAAGTTGTAGTATGTCCACTTTGGCCAAAACTTGTACATAGTTATGCTGCTAGAGTGAACGACCATTTAAGTTGTGTACTAAGCCGAATTCCAACTTAAAAGTTATTTGTCTGAAGTACAGTTCTAGTTTTGTCGTTGGAAGACTCACAATAAGATACTCGTATATCATTTCATGTATTAATTATCTATGACTTATGCTGCAAAACCTGTTCATCTTTTTCACTCTTCTCTGATGCAGACTCTTTTAATATCAAAGTTGATTTAGATTTTCCCCGAGGATGAAAGAGCTATCCTGTTCTTGCTTTTGTGTATCATCCTTTAGTGGAGATATATCATTTCGATGTTTGCTTGTTAATTGTGTGTAATGACACTATCTGGCCGCTGTTCCAGAGGAAGAAAGACTTGTTTTAAGACTTCTGTGTTTCCTTCATACCGTGAACTGAATTAAAACTACTTTGTGTTACCCGTAAACTGTAGAGTGAACCATAACATTTTCTGCAAATACTTAGCTTTATCAAAACATCAGTGGAAATTTAGCAATTCAAAATAAAGAAGGAATCGCAGTGGAAATTCGTTCACGTTTGATCCTTAGTTGCAAAAAGTACAACAGTTAAAAAGGAGGAGGATTTTGATATCTTTTGAAAACAACATGAAGTTCTTATCTAGATTATTTATTATCCTCGGATATCTACCCCTAGCGAGCACTATGAAATTTCACAACCCTTACGCGCTGTTTCTACTAAGCCAGCCATAATAACCTCAATGATTAAAGTAGACTTCCACTGGAGATCATATTATTATGCCAAAATTTCTAATAACGAGAAAGATAACGCAATAATCCTGCTAACAGCTAGTACTATTTTACAAATGTGGAAGAACAAATACGCATCATTATGTTACATGAGTTTGGCAATTAGCCATATGTAGGCCCAGAAAACGTTCAGTTCAGTACAGGCTTCGATGATGACTTGAGCTCTCAGGAACAATTGGCTCGCCAGTGAAGGGGTCAAATTTGTATGGCTCACCAGTGAAGGGATCAAACCTGATCCGTGGTCGAGTCTGTTGATGATCAGAAGTTGGGGTAATGCGTGAATGAAGTCCAACTCTGTCAGCAGTAGCTGAAGGACTCCATGATGCCTGAAAAGTGGGACCTGCTTCATCCATCCTTGGTACCCGACCAGATGGGAGGGATGTTGTCTGCAAAACGGGACTTGCTTCCTCCATCCTCCTTGTAGTCCCCCCACCAGAGAGGAGTGACTGCAAATTGGGACCTGCATCATCCATCCTTTTTTTGTGAAAAGGACCTGCTTCCTCCATTCTCGTTGTCACCCGACCATACATAAGTGAAGTCGCCTGCAAATGGGAACTTGCTTCCTCCATCCTTTCAGTTGTCACCCGACCAGATAGATGGGGATCTAAATACGCTGAATAGCGAGATGTGTAAACATCAGCCCTGCAAGAAACCAGCAGCATAGTGTTCATGTTACCTCAGTAGTTTTCTACAATAGGTGCTTCACTAAAGAGCCGGTAAAAACATATTATCACTCCAAGACTATTTTTACTTGCCCAACATAATTCTGCTCTTAGAACCAGACATGGAGCATAGTTCTAAAATATTCTAGAGTTGACGTGTAAGCTAACCTAGCCATGGGCAAGGGTACTCGAGAGGCATATGAATCTAGATCTGGCAAACGAACTCTTGTAGAGAAGCTGTCTGGTTCTGGTACCCTCAAGGCAACATCTTCTATCCTCGACTTGCTATCAAACTGTTTCAATCCCAGCTTTTCAACCTGCTGCTATTTCCAGAGAAGACTTCGTTAAATAATGCGTGCAAAAGATAATAGTACTAACAAAGATAAATTTTTTGATGCTTATCTGCACTCTGCAGACCATTACTTTAGAAATTAATGAAGCTAAAAATCCTCCCTTGTTCTGCATATCAGCTTCAGACCACATGAGCTATAAATGAAAGGCATTGGAGAATAGAAGCATGAGAGTCGATCTTCAATTGCTGTAGAATATACTACTAAAATTTTCACTAGGAATACAAGAGGTATAAATATTTCAGACCTGGTCAAGAACAGATATGGCAGCTGACTCGGGCAACATCTTAAGACTGGTTAGATTTACAACATCTATCTGAGAATAAAAACACATTCAAAACCTTTAGCCGGTTCAAGGTAACACAGAACATTCAACATCAGAAATAGGTTACAGCAAATATTATGACGTAACAGATGTCGCATAAAGCAGGTGAAAAGCTTATGTTGCATGATAATTTATGCAGATTTCACAATGCAACGTGCTAACCAGATAAAAACATGTCAGTTGTTTGGCCACACAAACATACAAGTAAACCATATATTTGTAGAATTTACATGTCTTATTTTTTCTGCAGAAAGTAAATCATGTATTTGTAGAATTTACATGTCTTATTTTTTCAGCTTCTGCAGAGATAAAGCGGGCCTATCCCTGATCCTAAGAAATAAATTCCATGGATTAGGGTGTGTTAGGTATGGAACAAGGAACTTGTTTACCCATGTTTGATTGGTCAATGTTTTTGGAACATATTTTCTCTAGGAAAAGAAGTTCCTTACAATGAGGAAAATGACTTCCCTAGTGGAAGTAGGGAAAACAAGTTCCACTAGCAACATTCCACATCGGTTGTACTGAACACTGTACCCCCCCATCTGCCATAGAATTTGTCTTAGATTATATACAAATGCTTTTGTTAATAATTTTTGCTTAAGTACTGAACACAAGAAAATAAGTAAGAAATCCACTAATTTTCCCAAAAAACATTAACCTTCATACTGAACACACCCTTAATATGAACCATCAAAAGCATGGATCAATTCACTAACATTAGACATTTATATTAGTGAAACAGAATTGATAACTCCAGATACCACTCAAAAGAAAACAAAGAATTTATATCTTGCCACTATAACCCATATAAATGAAGAGGCAAGAAAGAGGATCACAAATTTTATATCAGCTTGTTTGGTAGTTCAATAAACAAACACTTGAAGCCAATACAAACAAACTAGATAATGGCAACCAAAACGAACTTGCCTTTCTTTGTCAATACATAATCACAGAAAAAGAAGAAATTTCATATTTTGCTGTTGATGATAACAAAATTAAGAAGAACACTATTTTGGCTAGAATTGACATGAAAACCTTCTTGATAAATTAGAACGACATAATACATGAACAGAATTACAGCTTCGGGTAGTAGAGTCCATCCGTTAACTTACATCATATCTAGTAGCAATACCAAGCCGCAAGATCCGAACTAAACGCTCCTTGACAAGCACAGGTAGTGCAATTACAGCAGCTTCATAAGGATCCAAATAATCCATTTCCTGATTGAAGAAATATAATCAAAGCATAAGACGACAGATTCAGAGTTGAATGGAAAATAACAACCATTCAAATCAAAATGAGCTTAAACAGTTCAATCATGCAGCTGACAATAACTTCATATAGACTCGCTTCAAGCATTTATGATCATAACGTTAAACACAATATTATTATTCTTATTATATTTTCTTGATATGGGATTCCCATCCCATCAAACCTCCATGGTGGAAGTGGAGTGCTACCTGAATATTATGCGCTAGGAGGATATTTACAAGAGAAAAAGGCAAGTTCTACAAAACGATTACTGGACCAGCATTGTCATATGGGAGTGAATGTCAGTCCTCTAAGGTCCCATATCCACAAAATAAGTGTTGCAGAAATTTTAATGTTAAGATAGATGCATCATACAAGATTAGAGAAATTCAGGAATGGTCATACGCCATAAGGTGCAAGTAGCACAAATAGAGAACAAAGTGAAGGGTCTCTTAAGACAATTCGGTCATGTCCTACATAGACTCCAAATGAAAAGAAATGAAGTACACCACAAAATCACATAAAATGAAGTTATCTTAAAGACCCAAAAATCACATAGAATGTAGTTACTTAAGGACCTAAAATCACATAGAATGAAGTTATCTCAAAGACCTAAAATCACAAAGAATGAGCTTATCTCAAACACTTACAGTCGCATGAATCCATGCAGATTTAGAGAACCTCTAATACCATGGAACTTCAAGTTACAGATTATCCAATGAAAAAGGTTAGATAGGGTGCAATAGATAGTGTAAATTCATATGGTGACCCCAACTAGCTTGAGATTGAGGCATTAGTTGTATATTTGAAAAGAAGAACTGACGGTATACTACAAAGGTAGAAGCATCATATAAGCTTTGCCCAATGCAAGCCACGAAATTTCTATCAGAGCCACTTTTACTTTATTTTCAAAGGAAATTATACCGGCAAATATTTGCAAGATTAAAAAGCCAGCATATAAAATATTTTAAAGGAGAGGAGACATCAGAGATATCAAAAAAGAAATTAACATCTGATAGGTGCATCACCGGTTGAGATTTTGATTTAGGACCCCCAACCATCTCAACATTTGGATCATCCTTCAAAAGCTTGGAATGACTCTCAATGTTACTGGACATTTTTTGATCCTCACGACCTCGTTTCCTGTTCTTATCCGTTGGCCTCGCAACTTCGACCTGTTAGCAGATCATAATTGATCATCAATATTACATATCTGTAAACTATTGTAAAAGATATCAGCTTGGACAACTTATGAAAACTAGAAAGGACAAAAATCACCTGAATCTTGCTTGAGGGACCGCCCATTGGCCCTTGTACAGTTTTCTCATTCAATCCTTTAATAGCATTGTCAAGATCCTATCCTCACGGCATTCGTTGGTAGATGGGGGTGGGAAAAGAAACAAAAGAAAGACAATGTCAGCTATTATAAAGCGAAATTGCAATTTTAAGGGTCCCTTTTTATTTTGATTTCTACTTTTCCCCTGATAAAATCAGAGTTTCCCGCAGAATTGATATTCAATGCTACTACATGGATCATATCCTTTTAGTTTATTGTACTGACTCTAGAAAAGAATACCAATTGTCTATTATTCATCACAAGTAGCAGTAGCTTTAATGATGCTAAACAAGACTTGTAAGCATATTAATGGTAGGAAACTAATGACAAACTGTGATTCAAGAAATTTTCGAGTGGTTCCATTGCCAAACTTTCTGTTACTATCTCACACACCCGTTCAGAGATGCAGACAAAATTCCCATTTTAAGGACATCTGCTCCCTTCTCCCACTGCCCATTGAATTCACCTCCTTGAGCCCTCACTATATAGATCCCCTAACATTAGCCTACTCCATTGATTATTGATGGTTAAGG